CATTTCTTTTTATATTGTTTCAATAAAATATATAAAGATAAAAAAAACAATTGCTCTTTGACATTATTTTAATGGATAATACTATGCACGGCATCATTATCTTTGGAGTTGACAAAAGTAAAGTTTTCACATTTTATTACAGTAAACCCATAATGTTTTGATAACATTTTTTTTCGTGCTAACTGTTCGTCACATTTTAACAATGTGACCAAAACCCAGGTGAAATGTTTAGCATAAAAAATAGAACCACTTAATGAGGGTAAGTCTTTTTTCGAGATTTATTTAAAGAAGCATTTGTGGTTAAGAGTCTAAAGAATACATTTCAAGGATTGAAACTCTCTGGAAATGCAAAAGAGACCCTCTCCAGATATATATTACAATTGCAGTTTTCCCAACATAATTAATTGTAACCTATCTCGTCAACATCAGCCTGGGAATGAAGCAGTTATATCAGTGTTTTTTCTGTGTCTTTAGGTCAAAGATCCACAGGTTCATATATTAACAATCTACATTTTTCATACCTGCTTTTGTAATTACAGCATTTCAATATGCTGTAATTTCTCATACCTGAAATTGTCCGTTCGTGTTGTCTATAAAGATTGTAAATGAGGCCTAATAGAGGCATAATGAGGCATAACTCATCAGCAATTTCAAGCAAACAAACCTTCATTCTTATACGTTTTGAAAATCTTTTTACAAATATATTGACATTAAAATGATAGTACAAATTTTAATCAGTTAGTTTTAATATTATCGTTAATACTTGCACTTCTTAATTTAAAACTCCCTCCGCAGAAATCTACATTATTTTCATGTTTAATCTATGTTATTAAAATTGTCATATTGTTACTAGTGAGAGACATAAAACATTATTAATAATTTAATAATCGATTAATTAATTTACAGTCGCGGATACGGAATGTGGAGTCTCCAGTCGTAGGGCAGCAGCCAGGATAGTTGGCGGTGTCAACGCCTCACAAGGGGAGTTTCCTTGGCTCGTATCACTGAAGAAGGGTCGCAATCACCTGTGTGGAGGAACTCTCATCGCCAGCGAGTGGGTCCTCACAGCAGCCCACTGCCTGTGCAGGTTCGTATTCACAGTTTGTCAAACGAGCTACAAGGAATTGAAAAATAGGCTTATCAATGTGGTAATATGTAAGGAAAATTAATTTTAAAATGTGTGAATACAAATTTCAGAAATTAGAAAATTAATTATGAACAACAGTAATACATAGATGATTTTGAAATATCAATAAAACATCTGTAGTCCTTTGAAACAATAAAATATCTTCCCTAAAAGTTTAAGTTTTGATTAGGCTTGTAGATGCTATGTGGAAGTAGTTCTGTCGTTTTTATCATAAATATGATGGATCGTGGATGTTAGTTTCATCTACATGATCTGGAAAGCTATGTTGTTGCTTTAAATTTTCCGCAGTTTTTTTGTCACGTTTTTTTGTCTCTGCTATAGGGGTTTTTATTTTGGATTGTCTTGTGTTGACTTGTACTTTGATTGCATTCCTTTTTACTTTCCCTTCCGGATTTGGTGTTTGTAATCATCATGGATTATTGAAGGCGATTAGCCTCTTTGAAATTCAATTATAGTATCCAAGACTCAATGTGTAGGAAATTATACTTAAAACAGCCATATTGGTTGAACAGTTGCGTAGTGGAAAGATTGTTGGGATACATGGACGATATCATTTGCACAATAATAGATAACCAGTAATAAACCTTATTTTAAACTTATACAATCATAGTCTGAATGAATCTTGTAGATGGCCGCATCATTGGATTGGCCAACGACTAGACATTTTTTGTACACCATGGCATCTCCGATCGTGGAACCCTACTCTTAAACTCTATTAGCCTTCTACTAACCATACATAATTAATATGCGTACATGATAGTCTCTTTAACTTTGTACACTTTGCAGCGGGTCGGAGGTGATGGATGCCAAGAACCTCCGGGTGGCTGCAGGAGTGCATGACCTCCGCCAAGGTCGCGACCTGGACGTTCCTGTGGCACAAGTAAAGCTTCATCCTCAATACCGCTGTGACCACTACCTCCATGACATCGCCATGTTGAGGCTAGGGGCGGTGGTCTCGTGGGGGCCTAACGTGTTGCCTGCGTGTTTTCCCCTGCCCACCCCTGAACAGACATTTGCGGATGTGGAGGCCGAGGTGGCCGGCTGGGGCTGGACAGACGAAAACTTCAGCAAAGGTCAGTGAAAAGGTCTTGTCTAGTAGAATACGTAATTCAGAATGGAATACGAATATTTAAAGAATTGCGCATAGAAAATGTGACTGAATTTGGCTAACTTAGGGATTAAAGGAACTTGCCAAGTTATTCTAAGACTTTTCTTCAATTATGTTGAAGTTTAAAGCGCCTTTTGATTGTTCATAATGGGATAACGATAACACTTATGATGATTGAGCTTCAAAAATTAATTCGAAAACCTTTTGTCATCACCTTGAACTACATCACACAATTTATTGCCTTCCTAAGTAATAACTATTCCGTCTTTATGAGCAGGTAAATAAGATTCCCTAAATGTATAAAACCAATACTATAATTTGTCATTTTAATATTTATAAGGATGTGTTATATTTTTATTTGATGTGCATAGTGCATTTACTCATCACGTGATTGTGCTGTATACATTGCTATTAATAACAATTTTCCCTTGTCCAAGGTTACCGATCGGACGTGTTGCGCAAGGTTCGATTGATGATCGTAAACAACAGCAAGTGCCAGAATTGGTACAGTTCCCAGGGCAAGCGAATCAAGATCCAGGCAACACAGATGTGCGCAGGTGTTGAAAATGGCGGGAAAGACGCTTGTCAGGTGAATTGCACTTATTTATTATAATGAGATTTCTTATGAATAACAGATTCCAGGTTGCCCGTAGCGATACAAGTGATTAATTCCTACGTGTATAACTCTATATTCTTCTATCCACAGGCGGACAGCGGCGGCCCACTAATGGTGGGGGAAGGAAGCGACTTGATGGTGGTGGGAGTAGTCTCAGCTGGGATTGGCTGTGCTCGACCAAAACTTCCTGGATTGTACACCAGGGTGACTCACTACCTGGACTGGATCGGACAGACTATTAGATCTTAGGCAGATATGCTACATGTGTCGGCAAATCCACAACTGTGATATAGCAACTGTACAAATTAGTCTGTAAAATGGATGAGTGTAGATAATGTAAATAGAGGAAGAGTTTAAATGGATACTTACTATTATTTTTACCGAATACATCCCAAACTAAAGCTTAAAAACATGCTTGTTAAAAATAATAACGGTTATTGTAAAACTATCAATTTTAAAGGTACCGTAATGCAGTAATAATGCAATACAACAGCAACGCAATCAGCTGCAGTAAATGTGTACTATTTTAGGATAACGCCATTTTGGTTTGTACTGTACTTCAACTTGGTAGTTTGGTATATGGTTTCCTTTAATAATTTTGCTTATAACTTTGCACTAAATGATTTTATAAAATGTTTAAGCAGTGCCACAGTTATCGAGCTACCAAACTCTAATACTTGTGAAGTATAAGGATATAACAAGTTTTACTGAGTAGGTTCCACAGGTTGAGCCTAATGATCACCTTCAACTCAGCATTGTATTGTATGCTAAACTCGCGACATAGACCCAGTGACACACTTCGTCCTAATCTAGACTGCTCCAAGGTTACTGATGTACGATAAATCATTATGTGTGAATTAGAAGAACACAAATACTTGTGATAGATTTTCGAACTAGATTGATATTTAGTCTTAATATAGGTCATAAGAACAACAATTAGTTATTTGTTTTCCAGCTTTGTAATATGTATCTGACTATTTATAGACAAAAAACTTTCATACGTTAACAGTATCAAAACGTATTTATCTATCAAGAATCTGTGTATACAGAATATGCACACTATATGTATAAATACGTGTGGCCATGAACTCGATAATTCAAGTAAGTTTGGTTTGATTTTAATGACATTTGGCATGGACGTCTAAGGCCATGTTGGGGTGTAATAATTGAACACACAAGAATGAGTTTGTGAACTAGCAAGATTGAATTATGGGAACAGGTATGGGGTTTTACTATTTTTTTAAAAGTTTTTTTTTCATTTTTACTCTTAAACATAAAATGCCTAATTTTCATTACTGCCACTGTATAGAGTTTAACAAAATAAAAATATTAGTATATTGAAGCGTCTTTATGAAGTAAAAGGTTTGGAAGAAAATTAACGTAAATTAAAAATGTTTAGGTTCCTTATAGAGCAAAAAGTATATACTATAGTTTGCTTCTTTAATATACTTTGATCATAATGCAAACTCATTCGTTTCGAACTATCCTATTAACATTTAAACAAACAATTTTTTATTTCCCTATCGCAAGAAAAATAAGCCCTCTTTAAAACTAATAAGGAACAAATGTTATAGGTAATATTTTAGTAACCTTCCAATTAGACAAAATGTAAATTGACTTAGTCTTCAGGTTTACTACAGTGGGGGCGTTTAGTTTTAAACACCTAAGAGATTGTGTCCTCTATGATCCCAGCACTGACACTATGATCTAGCAAGGCTACACTATTACTCTATAATACTGTTGTGAATCAATACTATAATTCCTTGGTTGATGTGAAACGTTTCAAGCAGAACTAGAATTACATCGTACTGCTAAATGTATTTGCGGTAACAGGACGAAACCAACGACATCGATGACTTGTATTCATAGTTCCAACCGGCTTAGGCTCACCAGTAAAAATAAGTATTTCCTCAACAGTCTACTTTAAATTGTCGTAGGGTAACATTAAAAACCTATTAGGGGACAAGGCAGATATGAGTTTTCATATATCTGAAATGCTTGATCCTTCATCAAGATTTCTACATGTTGTTTTTACGTTGTTAGTTTTATGTAGAGTTTTTTCAGCTCGGTGAATATGTACTGAAAACAGAATTATATAATCTGTTGCTTAGAAACATTACAACAAGAAACAGTCTCCAGGAAAATTACAAGTGAATACATGACCACGACTTCAAGAAGACACACCAGCAGACATACACTATAACACATACATCATGACCTATTATGAGCCTTACTCCTCAGACATGTATGGTTACAATGACCCGTACGGTTACAATGACCCATACGGTAACTATGACCCCTACGGATACAACGAAAGCTTTGATGACTCCCCACCCCCAGAACCGAGTAAGGATTGGGTAGACGTACCAAAAGTAAATCGATCTTACGTGAGAAAAATACCTAAAGAACTAATTAAAGCAGAATACGAACACTTAAGAGGTGAAAGTTTATATTACATAGAAGCCATGGTTGAGTTCATAGATCTGAATGATGAAATATTGATTAGCCCAGAGAAAAATAAGAAACGTGACGGTAAAACAGTTACACAATTACAAATATTGAGCCTTCCAACAACAAACCCTTCTACTGTTTCTAAGGATGAGTCACTGGATATTAAGAAATCAGTTACATCACATGATGTAGTGATCTTACCATTATTGGAATGGTTTCAAAACCTGTTTGCTGATTGTGTTAGACGAGCTGATGAATCAGATAAAAGAAATGAGAGCGAGGAGAAAAAAGAGGAAAATGGCGAAGATGGCAAGGAAAGAAAAAAATCAAAAGGGAAACAAGACGGGGAAATAGTAGATAAACCAACAAAAAAGTCAAGGACGAACGTCATGGAAGGTAAGCTTTCATGTTTAATAACTCATAATTTTGATTGGATCTAGCGCATATCTCTGCTTAAGTGATACATACAAATGAACTAAAACACGACGGTGGTTGTACATTGTGAACTTAATGAACATTGGGTTTCCAGGTAATAGCGTGTTGCTGTTAACAACCGGATTAGAAATGATCCAGAGACTACAAACACAACTAGTAACGGTAGAAGTTGGAAGAAGTGACGTCACCATCCAAGAGGTCGTGCCTCTAGGGGTCGCTTCAGTTAGACTTCCAGAGACCTTCCATCAAACTGTCCTTCAGCGGGCAGCGATAAAGAAGTCTTTCATTGTACCTATACTAGGAGAGGAAGGTGCAGAAATAGGTGGGGTGGGATTAACGATATCACTAGTGTGTTTAGGCCAGGGGCTGGAAGTTGGTTATTTAGAAACTCCGAAATTACACGGAAAAGTCAAGTTAATAGAATCTTTCACCCAAAATGTGGCTGAATCTACTCTAGATCCACCCATACATCCAAGACTGGCAGTGAAACTGATGAATTTGGAAGCACCTTTGTACTTAAACAGAACGAGTTCTGAGATACTTCAAGATTGTTTGGACAAAAATCGTTTGGATGGTAAAGACATGATTACGTACAAGAAGGGGAATTGCCGATGGTTGGAAATCGCCAGAGAATTATCAAGTACTCCAAAAATGAGTTTGCAAAGTATGAGTTCGTGTTCGTTTGACTTTGATGTATTATCTTTACCAGATACCTCTGGGTTTTGGTCTTTCCTAAACTGTCCAAGAGGTAGGACGGATCCGGAACTTGATATACTTTGGAGGAAACTGAAACAACAGTGCAGAGGTATGGGAAATGAACTACAAAATGTAGAAAACAAAAAGAAAGCACGGTTCGAAGAACTTGAAGAACTTTTGAAACAAGACAAGGGAGAGGGCTGGGAAGATGAGAGTGAGTCAAATTCGTCGAGACTTTCGAAACGGGGAACACGAAGTTCTAAGTCCCCAAAAAGTTCACGTAGGAAGAGCACTAAAAAATCTTCACTTTAATTACTGTTAATAAATGCATAATATAAATACATAAAATACAAATTAATCAGTTATCATCATACCACACTTGAGGATTTATTCTCTCATCAACATTGTTGTGTTTGAAGAAGACAAAGAACAAATACCGCGTTGTTACGTTTAGGCATGTTACAAACCTTAATAATAGTTAAAACCAAATATTTAACCGCCTACAATATTGACATTGTGTAGACAATTGAACATATTTTATATCGAAGTATATCACAGGCTCATTTAGTAAGGGGTATAAAATCTCATACTCTAAATAACGTAAGGCTTTTTGAGGTAGACAGTAGCATATTTTTATTGAAACTTTAAACAGACTATAAGTCCAGTCTTCGTATTTAGTCAAATGTGAATAGGCATTTATAAATTAAATTTATCCTCTGCAGCTATAAAGTTCTAAAGAGTTTAGAACGAATAAGACATTTGGAGGATAAAATTAAAGTTTAAATTTAGTTATTTGTTATTCCTGGCTCGTCTCAAATTACTGGTGGAATTTGTTTGTCAGCAGACTAATGAAGTAGAGATTGGACCAAGCGGGCGGAATATCAATGTCGCTTTTTCTAAACATTTTAAAGAATCGACAGTGCAATATTTTAAAATCAATTGTGTTTACTATTGTGGGTGGTTTTCTATTGTTTTAAATTAAAGATTTAAGGTCAAATCGCTTTGTTGGCACTGTCTTGTAGATATGTAAACTGGGTTCGATATAATATGACTAATAATGTGATTTCCTATTAAGAATTATAAATTCGTATACAAGTTTAAAACACGTCTTGGGCTTTTTAAATGTTAGACATAGAACGCTTTAGGAAAGATCTGATGGTGCTTTTCTCAATTGAACCTTTTTGCGTTTTGAATTTGTAAGGTTGGGAATAGAACAATAATCAATGATCATCTAGGATGGATTTACGTTTACTACCTTAAGTTTATAAGAAAAAAATATAATTTATAGGCCTATGTGATTATGGCGTTATTGAAAGTTATATTTTAGTTATAGTGTATGTTTCAATCATAAAACATCAGTGCCCTGACAAATACTTTATCTACAGGACAATTCCTTCGCAACACTGATAAATCAATACAGATTTAAATACAAACAATTTATAATAATTTACAAACTAAGATTATATTTTGTTAATTTGTTTAGTGTAAAACGTAATTAAATGCAAAACTAAACAATACCGAGTCCTAAAAATATTTGGTTTGACTTTATAATTTTTGTCTTGGTTTGCATGATTATCTGTGACAGACTTATTTATTGAAAGGCTATGGAGCTTACTTTTCCACAGCCACTTGTCACAGTTGGCACTGGAGCCGTTGTGACTGTTCAGCGTAGCCCATGCTCTCAACAAGCAATGTGGCAACGAGGAGGAGGATTAGCTTAGCATAATTACAGCCAGTATATAAATAATTAAAACTAATAAGTGTTAATCAGGGATTTTTTTTTTAACAAAACCCAGTTACTTAACAACAAACGGTGCTTTAACGAGTGTGGCTTTTTAACAATGAAACTAGCTTATACTGTATGTTAATATTCTTGTAAGTAAATTTTTTTTATTTTGTTTTCTACAGATCCGGTTCTCCTTAATTCCTTAAGTCAATAAATATTAGATTTAATAGGTTCTGGAATAACACCCGGAAACCTAATTTCAAACCTTTCTGTCATAGAATTAATGATTTACTTTTAACGTATTCTCATACAATCCACACTTTTTCAGCTTGTGAAAACACCACAGTGAGTTTTATTTACAATTAATTACGAATAAATCTAATCTCATACATCCAACAATACACATTAGGTAAATGGCAATAAAGTAAAAGAAAACCATTCTAACGAAATACATTTGTATATAAACAAAAAAACTATGTATACAAAAAAGTTTTAATCATTTGTGAAGGGCTAGGTAAATCTCTATATACCATGCGTTACTCGTAGTCTACACAAGGCTAAATTGCCTGTGAATGGATCATATCTTGCATACCAAGGGGTTTGCAGGTACAGACTAAATTAAAAATTAAATGATAAATTTTAGTGAAGCCGGAACGCGACTTACTGGATTCCTCCATCACTAGATTGAGTAAGAAACCTTAACTTTTAATTTGGAAATATGTTAAAAAACCCACTTTTCCATACAATCCTAAATATCTCACAAAACTTTATACAGTAGTACTCCATTTATCTGAACTTCAACCATTCTCTTCAAAATGAATTTTAAAAAGTACATTTATGACGATAATTATTTCCTGCAGCCGTGTAAACATCACCCTCGTCTTCCATGATCGTGGCAAAATCTTCGGTAATCTAGACATCATTCTCGCTTACTGTGATCGTGTTGAGATGATCGTGATCGTGTGAACAGTGTTGAGTTGCTTATATCGTTGGTGTAGTGACATAATCTTTTTCAGCGATCGCGGGAAATCCGTATTACTTCTCTTAAACGTCTTATAGCTATCAATACAACTCGCATAATCACAAAAAATCTTCATAGTGTTCGGTTTTGCAGACACTTTCTGCGATTGCAATAGTAAGAGTTAGGCTTGACTCTGCCCATTTTATGTAAAATACCCCACGATTTGGTAAAACTCTGATGATCGGAATTCTTGGTTATCCAAATGTGGTTTGGACCCAATTGATTCGGATAATTAGAGTTATGCTGTAATTAGAAATCCTATTACAGCCTCCATACGTTCGTTAAACGTATAAACAATTTTTATTTCACACAAACAAATATTTGTAAAAAATTTGTATAAAAGGGCCAAAATTTGTTACACTGTAGGGTTAATTAAAATGTTCACTCATTAGTATGACGCAGCTGGTTCTGTATGTGACGTCACCATTCTCAGACATTTACTCCCTCCTACAACTGATTTCCCACGAGAATTGGAGATGTAAAATACTCCAGACTAGGGTCTGCCGGGGATCATACTTAGGTTAGAAACCTGTTAAAACCTCTTGCAAAAATTAAAATTGAAAAAAAAAACAGTAGGGATGAAAGTATATTTGCGTTTAATGAGTCAATGGTACTATTCAAGATTCATCTGTAGTCTGGCAAGTGAATAATGATCGACATAGATGGATAATTTTTAAGAGTTGATCGAATTCGTAATTTAAAATCTTGAAACAAATATCCTCTGTCAATAATCGAAGATTACTGTAATATTAATAGAACCAATAGGGCAAACTTTCAATTATACTAATCAATTGATATTGATTTTTGCAATGTCCTTTCCTTATTTCAACAGTTATATAGTTTGACTTCTGAAATAAGTGTGATATTTATAACCAATTTGGTGATAATAAGAAAATGAAAGTCATTGTTGTATGGATACAAAACTTTATAATGTAAATTTTAAATTGAGTGTCCTTTTACAAACGTAGGTAAATAATCTAAGTCTATTATTTATATATAAGTCCCGATAACATAATGAAAGTTAAAAAACTGTATTTGGAAACTAGATTTTCATACCAGATAAAAATGCTTTTTGTGTCAGGAAAAAACGGATGTTTTTTTTTAGGTAAAAAGATCTTAAGACATATTCAAAACTTCCAATATGATTACAAAATTGGTCTCTCATACATTGGCTGAGATAAACAGGGATTACTGTGATTTGTGACTTGTATAGAGACAAGACAACAACGACATTTAATTAGAATTGAGGGCTTTAAATGTTACTGGCTACATAGCTTAGAGAAATGGTTAAGTAAATCCAACAGATCAAGTAGGTCAGTGGCCTTCCTATCATTGTATCTGCCTCAACCTCATGAACAACTTAAACCGATTGGATGAAATGAGCATTGAACTAAGCAAGGTATGTGACGATTTAAGACTTAGCAGTACTGTGTTCTGTGTTTATGTAGTTGTAAATGAAAAAATCATGTGATACTGTTAATAAATAAATTGAACTGTAAATAAATTGAATAAAAAGGATTATGAAATCTAGGGGAAAATTAAAGAGTATAAGGAACTATTAAAATACTGAATATTCAGAAATGGAAACATATTGCTTTGGAATAATGCGTATTCGAGATGTCGTAGATTGCTGTAGTAGTTTGTGGGAAATTTGTGGGAGCTTAATCTTTAAAAATGAATTCAAAAGCTGAGCCTTAAACTATTAAAGATACTATATATAATTGTATTATTTTGGTGGCAATGTGTCAAACTGGTATCCAACTACAAACAGTGCGTACAGTTTTTAATAAAAGGCGACTCCAACATTTTTACTTATTTAGTTGTTTTTTTGTTAGTAAATTCAAATACAAACAAATTAATACTTGTAAAAAAGTAAAGCTTGCGTATGTACTTAATCAATCAAATTAAGTATATTTTTATGAAAAATATTAAATGACATTCTCTAAATATCGACATTTGATTCAGGTTTAGTTATATCCATCATTATCCTTCAAATCACCAATTATTAAAGTGACCAACAGCATCTGGGTCTTAGCTTTTACAATTAAATTAAATAATGACGCATTTCTTAAGACTTGCATTCAAAGCCCTGTCTACAATCAATTCCGTTTAATTAAGTTTTCTTCGTTGTACGTCCTGTATTAACAGATAAACTTTTAGTGGGGCTCTTAATTGTTTCGTAAGACGAATTAGTTCTAAATTTGACAACTGATTGAGTTTACTTGATTCAACAACATATAAATATGGCAACTGTAGACATTCTAAATTCTAGAGAATTTTCAATTGAATTAGGTTTGCCAAGCTTATATACACGATATATTTCAGTTTGTGCTAGATTGGTTAAGTTGCTTTCACATTGTAATAACGATCTATAACGTAAAAGTGTGAGAAATATTTACCAATATCGAAAATTTATTAAGTATCACTGAAAACTTAGTCTTAAATCTGAGTAGTTATACTTTCAAAATGGATAGATATTACTTCATTCTAGTTAAGCATTTTAAAATTATGTATTACAGGATTAACCCTATTGAAACGGAGATTCAACCTAAAAATAAAAAAATAACCTTTAATTTCCTAAGTCGGGGGACATTTTCTAAGGTTAT